CATCCAGCCCTGCACCTTGTTAACTCTTACTGGCACTGTATTTGCATCGACATTTTGTTAGGTAATTAAGAAAAAATAACAAGACTGGTAATTTTCATTTCACATTCGCAGCTTTAGCAGCTGCAGTTCTATAAGGATCAGCACAGTGTTAAACTACGTACGATCTATAAAAATAACTTGGTTGATTGTACTGATTGTTCAGTAATCACATAAACTGAACATGCGGAGAAAGGTAGTGAAGGAAGATTTTGGACTGATACAAAATATCTCCAAAGGGATTTAAAATGCTGTATGGATGGTAATAAAATAGCACATGGTGTATGTTGGAAAATGAGTTTATTTATCTGGATAGGAAGAATAAGGAGGACACAAAGATAGCAAAGTTGGCCGACGCACGGCACAAATTAACAAGATTTCAAATCTTTTCATTTAGTTCAGTGACGAATTTAACTTGCATAAATGTATTATAACAGCTAGGGGATGCATAATCATTAGCTTTAGCTCATCCCTGAATTTACGCTGGGAAACTGCATATATGAAGGTGTTTGTGCAGCAACTCAAAGTCCTGAGAATGTATCCTGATTGTTCGAGAATAGTAAATGAATCATTGTAATTTGTTACTAAAAATTCCGCGGCTTTAAATTGTACACAAACGTAGAATGCAAAGGACGCACTCCATAAAAGTATAAAATTGCCAGATATGGCCAGCAGTATAATCATAGATTTTCTCCGACTCTCCATCTCCGGATCGTCAAGCTTCTGACCTTTGTTCTTTCCTCGGAGTCCCCTTCTGACAGTGTTTGCGAGTACTATGTGCCTGATAGTCAGTACGTTCAATGGTAATATCAAAACAAAAGGAAGAAATGGGGTTAAAATAATTTCCAACCACCAATATGCTATCCATATTGGCAGGGTGTGAAAGCTTGTTTTCACACCACAGGACCACGGTAGGTTACCAATTATTTCACGAGGATTGAAGATAAAATACAGCGGAGTGGTCTCCAAGATGCTCAAAACAAATATCACTGCTATAACCACATTTGCACTTTTAACGGTACAATAGCTTGTTCGGAGCTTTTGACAACAAATAGCAACATATCGATCAAAGGTGAATGCGACTGTACACCAGACAGACCAGTCAACTGAAGCCAAATACAGGGTGAGGTTAAGGCTGCAAATTGGTGTGTAGTTGAGGAATGAATATGGAAAATAATAATCCTTAATCTCGTAGAGTATTACAGCAAACAGCAGCAAAGATAAATCCGCTGCTGCCATACCCACCAGGTATCGAGTGACGCATTTGGAGAGATCACAACGTCCACGGGAGAGAATCACAATTGTTAACACATTAGCTGAAAAGAAGAAAAGAAAGAAATCGGTCAATCTTATCATAGTAAGGTGTTGACCAGTCGACATTTGTGCTCTTTAAAAATCGAGTGTGGCTTGTTTGCTTACACATCTGTGAGACCTAATAAAACGATGAAATGCCTTTGTTCTCTGCTAGCGCGATTACCCATGACTTTATACAGAGTAAAAGGGACAAATTGTACATTTCAATCGATAATCACCGTGTCCAGAAGCTTAGAATGTTCAATGATTTTGAACTGCAGTGCGTTGTTCAGACAAAATGTACCTGAGGTTCAATAATGTGTTAACTCAGCCTTTTGACACTTGTACCACGCTGCAGAGTTAAACAAGAAAAGCATCAAATATTCCAGAATCTTCTCCATTGGGCAAATGTTACTAAACATTTCAATAAACAAACCAGTCTCAGATATCTGAAATTCGAATTTTGAAGAAGAAAAGCACAAAGTTGACGGAATGCTTGATAAAAGATGGAATGCAAAATAAAATGAGATATTTAATCGACTTGTAGGTAGGGCACAAGAATGGTAAACGGAAACCATTGAGAATACCTGTGACTTAATGCACAATAGTTGAACCAGCTAACAGGTAGCTTTTTTTTTAGAATTAATTGTCCAAATAATGTGGCGTAACAGACAGAAATTGTCGCCTCCATTCACGTTTTACAAAAATCTCCAAACATATCAAAATATACGAGGTATAATTTCAGTACAGTTGAAATTAAAAAAAAAATAGATCAAACTTATAAAGTGCTCAGGCCGCAATTGGAAGACTGTCAAGAACACTCTCCTGAACTGTACAGTACATGCCCAGAAACAGGTTTTGTTGCGCAGTGTTAAAACCCTACCTTCTGAGCCAGGACGTCCGTATTCACATTCCATCTGTATTGGAGGTTTGTAACATCATGATAAAAAAAACAAGCAAAACAATTAAATTGAAATTGGTTTCAAGACAGTGATTTTGTTTTAATTCAGGGAATGATGACAGAACGGGATACTTGTAACTGTCAGGAAATACTAAACAGACTGGTTACTCTTTCGAATAGCAAGATAATGCCGATGTGTCATCCCATTGGCTTTATAAGACAATTAAATCGTGCAAATCTAGAAAATATAGAAAACGTAACCAACTGTTGGTGAGCCAACTTGTGCGCCTCAAATTTAACAGTCAAAAATAAATCCAATCCGGAAGCTAAAAGAAGTATTGCTACCAGAGAACAGTTCGTGGGTAATTTCACTTGCCTCAAAAATCACCTGAAGTGAAAAGCATAGTTTCATTCAAGGGGAAACTGGGTCAGCACACATGGCTGACCGAAGTGGAATTTGTGGATCTCATTCCCTGCTCAGGTGCTCGAAATATGCTGTATTCCTTATAAAATGTGCAAAAAAAATCACAACCAGTCCAGCACTTTCTCAGAGGAATGGAACGAAATTCCAGACTTGGGTCGATTTCTGTCCGGAAATCCAACACTTGTTTTATTTATTTCTCCCTTGGCACATGCTGACCGGCAATCTGAGTTTCTGCAACATGTTAACATTTTACTTTTGGTTTCCAAAAGCCAGTATATGTTGACTCTGAATATGGCAACACATGTCTCCAAATAAAAGTAAAATACAGGTGACATTCGAACATCGGAATGTATAATGCTGCCAGTCAAATTATTCCAGTGACAATATATCAGAGGCATAGAGACTGCCGTTGTTTGGAGGATAATAGTAATTTTCTGCACATCAAGCAGTATAAAAACGCAGCATCTCACCTCCAACTGGAGCTGTAATCCCGTTAAACAGAATTAAGAACTGTTAATTAACTGATTTACAAAGACATACCCGGAATGCCAATGGTTGCAAGAACAGGGTAGTAAATACTTTCTATCTGTATGATAATCGGCTGTTCCATGGCTGCACAGAAAGAAGCTGTCTTTTTTTGATTCTGCACAGGCAAATTTCACGCTAGGTTCTCTTATATGCCTGGAGAATCCTCGTGGGACTATTGCATAATTATACAATAATTGGCATTTGTTTCACCGTTTTTAACAATTGGATTAACTATGTCATTTTTTCTTCGACCGTCGATGGGACTAATTGCATCATTATCTCACCTTCAAATATAAGAATTTAAAACATTGTTGTGATAGTATTTTTGATGTAGTCGATTTTAATCCCTCTACTTGTCAAGCAGCATCACAGGGGTTTGAACGTGAAGGTGATGAGTAACATGCTCACGGGGATATCTAATGAAATAAGATTTCACATTTGTGGAGGGTCAGCGGAAATTGGGTCCCTACAACTTAATTATTATTTTATTTTGCATTAAACACGAAATAAATCAATTCAAGATGTTTAACTGATGTGGGATCGAATCTTACACAACTAAATGTAGTAAATGGTATACAGTCTGTTAAACAGTGTGACAGGGATAAACTCATGTGTTGTAATACACGAGAATTTGACGTGATGTATGATAGCAACTGATCTGTTATCAAGAAAATAAAAGTGGATAAAAAATTTAACAAACTTTCTGGAAATCTTGGCAGATTCTTCTTACTTTCTATAATTCCCAACCAAAACTGATGAGAAAATTATGTAGGCATCTGAAGCTGTGTGATGCATGAATTATTGCAATGTGTCACATTTCCGTGGGACTACACATCGGAAAAAAAAATGAAATTCTGGCGTCTCTCGGAATTGAAATTTGCGACAATGCTATTGTTGTGTTCATTTGGTTGCATTTTGTTTGCTGCAACTCACTTTAAAATATAGTGTTTTCCAATTTGCATTGTATGACTAATTCTTCAATGAGAAACTATCACTTACAAATTCAACTTATTCAATGCATAAATCTGAGTTACTTTGCTGTCATGCCCGCAATAACGGCCACTGTGCAGATTGCCAAGTAAACAAGCAAATCAATCGGATTTACGGAATGTTTCCACAATGTAATTGGCCTTTTATTTTGTTTGGAAGTTAATTGTAAGGTGCATTGATTTTCTGCCCATTGGTCGTCTTATTTTTAAGGCGAAAATGATGTGTAGATATGGAGTTCAATCGTTTATTTTTGGTTTATTGACTGTGGCAGGGTCAGAACCCTGGAACTCATGGGAACAGAGGAACAACAGTAGGATAATTAGCACACGAGCTCAACTTCATCACTGACCTCTATACTCAAAATCATGATTACGTATTATTCATAATCTTAAAATTAATTACAGCCGTTTGTGTTTCATAATATCAATTATACTTGTAATTACAGTAATAAAGTAGGGGATGCAATAGCCTTGTGCTCTCATTCCCTGCTGTCAATCCAGAGACCCAGGCAATGTCCTGGGTAAAGAGACAACAAGGTGCAGGGCTGGATGAACACAGCAGGCCAAGCAGCATCATAGGATGTCCTGGGTAGCTGGGTTGAAATCCCGCCGTGGCAGTTGGTGGAATTTAAATTCAATAATCATGTGGAACTAAGAGGTAATGATGATCAAGAAACCATGGCTGATTGTTGGAAGTACTCATTAGTTTCATGAAGGTCTATTAGGAAAGGAAACTGTCGTTCTTACCTGGTCTGGCACACATGTGATTCCAGGCCCACATGTGACTCCAGACCCACGGCAATTTCTTTTACTCTTAAATTCCTTCTGGACAATTAAGGGTGAGAAATAAATACTGGACTAACCCAACGATGCCCACATCGTCTGAAAAGAATGAAAAAAAAATGTAAATGTTAGTTCTAGTAACTTATAACATTTATTACGTATTTATAGACTAGATTAATAGTGGGACGGAAAAAAACGTTCTCTGACCGTCATTGGGCCTAGCCTAAAGCAACTCGTTCTAAATGAAGCATTGACATAACGTAGGACATATTACCGAAAGAGGAACGTTACGATTTTTAACAGTGTGTGTTGAATTGAGTTTAGTGGAGTGCTATTATCTGCAAGATCAAGCGAGTTGTCTGTAATGTATATTAACAAACTTGCAGTTTAAGTGCGGTTTGAGACCCGAAAGGAGGATCACGCTGGATTTCCACCTCACTTTTGACACGCGCTTTTTTTCAAACTGACTGGCAGCTCACTGCAAGTTCCGGAATTGATCAGAATCCCAGGTGTTGTTACAAATTTAACTGACTGTTGTGCATCTCGACAAGCACTGTCAATTTGTAGTTGTAGACGGGGGAGATATTTTTCCTACTTTAATTTATGGGTTTTCTTATTCATTTGTGGGACGTGGGCGTCGCTGGCTGGCCAGCATTTCTTGACCATCCCTAGTTGGCCTTGAGAAGGTGGTGGTGAGCTGCTTTCTTCAACTGCTGCTGTCCTCCTGCTGTGAGTTGACCTACAATGCTATTGGGGAGGGATTGACAGGATTTTAGCCCAGCAATAGTGCAGGAACGGCGCTATATTTCCAAGTCAGGGTGGTGAGTGGTTTGGAGGGGTACTTGTAGTTGGCAGTGTTCCCATATGTCCGATGCCCCTGCCCTTCTAGATGTAAGTGGTCGTAGGTTTGGAAGGTGATATCTGAGGATCTTTCGCGAAATTCTGCAGTGCATCTTGCAGACACACAGCTGCTACTGAGCGTCGGTGGTGGAGGGAATGGATGCTTGTGGATGTAGTGCCAATCAAGCGAGCTTTTTGTCCTGGCTAGTATGAAGTTGTTGTTGTTGAGGCTGCACTCATTCAGGTAATTGGAGAGTATTCCATCACACTCCTGACTTGCGCTTGCAGATGGTAGACAGACTTTGGGGAATCAGGAGGAGAGTTACTCGCCACAGTATTCCTGGATTCTGGCCTGCTCTTTTAGCCATTGTGTTTAGCTGGTGAGTCCAGTTGGGTTTCTGGTCAATGATAACACCCACGATGTTAATAGTGGGGGATTCAGCGAGGTTAACACCATTGAATGTCAAGGGATGGAGGTTAGATTGTCTCTTATTGGTGATGGTCTTAGCCTGGCATTTGCGTGGCGTGATTGTCAGCCCAAGCCTGGATAGTTCCCAGATCTTATTGCATTTGAACATGGACTGCTTCTGTATCTGAGGAGTCCACGAATGGTGCTGAAAATTGTGCAATCATCGGCGAACATTCCCACTTCTGACCTTATGATAGAGGGAGGGTCATTGATGAAGGAGCTGAAGATGGTTGGGTCTAGTACATTAACCTGAGGAACTCCTGCAGAGATATCCTGGAGCTGAGATGATTGGCCTGCAACAACCACGACCATCTTTCTATGTGTCAACTATGACTCCAACCATCAGAAAGTTTGTCCTCTGATAACCATTGATACCAGTTTTGCTAGGGCTCCATGATGCCACACTGAGTTGAATGCAGCCTTGACATCAAGAGCTGTCACTCTCATGCCACCTCTGGAATTCAGCTCTTTTGTCCATGTTTGAACCAAGGCTGTAAAGAGGACAGGAGCTGAGTGGCCCTGGTGGAACCCTAACTGGGCATCATTGAGCAGTGTAGTTCTGAGCAGGTACTGCTTGATAATGCTGTTAATGACCCCTTCCATCACTTTACTGATGATTGAGAGTAGACTGATGGGGCGGTAATTGGCCGGGTTTGATTTGTCCTGCGTTTCGTGTGCAGGACATACTTGGGTAATTTTTCACATTGTCGGGTAGATACCAGGGTTGTAACTGTACTGGAACAGCTTGGTTTGTTGTCAGGGCTCGTAGCCTTTGCAATTTTCAGTGTCTCCAATCATTTCTTGATATCACGTGGAGTGAATCGGATTGGTTGCAGACTGGTGCCTGTAATGCTGGGACCACTGGAGGAGGCTGAGACGAATCATCCACTTGGCACTTCTGGCTGAAGATTGCTGCGAATTCTTCAGTCTTATCTTTTGCTCTGATGTGCTGGGCTCTTCCACCATTGAGGATGGAGATATTTGTGGAGCCTCCTCCTCCAGTGAGTTGTTTGATTGTCCACCAACATTCGCGACTGGATGTGGCAGGACTGCAGAGCTTAGATCTGATCCGTTTGTTGTGGGATCACTTAGCTCTGTCTATCACTTAATGCTTTCGCTGTTTGGCATGCAAGCAGTCTTGTTTGGTGGCTTCATCAGGATGATAACTCATCTTCAGGCATGTCTAGTGATGCTCCTGACATGCCTTCCTACACTCTCCATTGAGCCAGGGTTGATCCCCTGGCTTGATGGTAATTGTTGAGTGGGGGATATGCCGGGCCATGAGGTTACAGATTGTGCTGGAGTGCAATTCTGCTGCTGTTGATGGCCCACAGCGCCTCATCTATGCCCAGTCTTGAGTTGCTTGATCTCTGCGAAGTCTGTCCCATGTAGCACAGTGAAAGTACCACACAACATGGTGGAAGTTATTCTCAATGAGAAAGCGGAACTCTGTCTACACAAAGACTGTGTGATGGTCACTCTTACTGATACTGTCATGAATAGATTCACCTGCAGCTGGCAGATTAGTAAGGATGAGGTCAAGAATGTACTTCCTTTTTGTTGGCTCCCTCACCACCTGCCACAGACCCAGTCTAGCAGTTATGTCCTTTAGGATCCGACCAGCTCGATCAGTAGTACTGCTGCCGAGCCACTCTTAGTGGTGGACATTGAAATGCCCCACACAGAGTACATTTTGTGCTCTTGGCATCCTCAGTGCTTCTTCTATGCGATGCATTACATTGAGGAGTACTGATTCATCAGCTGATAGAGAACGGTACGTGCTGATCAGCAGGAGATTTCCTTGCCCTTATGTAACTTGAAGCCATGAGAATTCATGGGGTCCAGAGTCAATGTTGATGACTCCTAGAGCAATTCCCTCCACACTCTATATCACTGTGCCGCCACCTCTGCCGCTGGGTCTGTCCTGCCGGTGGTGTCTGGTAAATTGGCTGTAAGGTATGATACTGTGAATATGACTATGTCAGGCTGTTGCTTAAATAG